TCGAAATTAAAAGGAAATCCAAAGAAATTTGAGAAATGAGATCGATTGAACACTAACAGGTTTACTCACCATGGATGTGCAAGGATAACATGCTTAATGTGATTGCGCTAGAATGAAAAAGAGGTGCGAAAAAAAGTATAGGTCGAGTTATAATAACATGATTCAGATTCGTTTGCATAGGATAAGAGTTTTTGAAATTGTGTCACTACGGTACTCTTATTGTCGATATTTAAGTACCTATATGTTTGATTGAAACTTGACTTGAACGTATGACTGTTTCACACCCATGCCTAAAGAGTTTTACTTGCTTGAGGACAAGCAAAGGTTCAAGTATGGGGGAGTTTGATAACGCGAAATTATATCGTGTATCTGACTTGACATGCATGAGTTTATACTACATTTTATTTGATTTTCCCCTATTTATGCTTTATATTACTCGTATTTGTTTGTGTTTCTCAGGTACTCGGTTCGAAGTGAAGAATTAGGAAGTGAAGAAAATGAGAAGAAAATGGAAAGGAAAGAAAAAGAACTGGGAAGGAACGAAAAAGAAAAGAAAAAGGTGGGCCCACCACCCTTATGTGGCTGGAGCCACATTAAAGGTGACGCCCACCACCAAGACTAAAGAAGTGGCGCAAGCCACATGTGCAAAAGGGGGGAGGTGGCGCAAGCCACCTATTAGTGAGGAGAAATATTCTCCCACTTCCCCTTATTTTCCAGTTCCACCCCCACGTTTCCGGACGGTTATCAGCGATCCCTTCTCCCCCTCAATCGAGTATAAATACCAGAAAAACCCTCCAAAAAGGGGTTCGGAGATTTTTCACGAGAAATTAGTCTATTCCAGTTTTCATTCTAGCATTAGCGCAATATTAGTTTTTGTTATTTTTTCGTGCTAGAGTTTAATTTCTTGTACCTGTTTGAAGAACACCATTGTTATTCCTTTAAGCCTGTACTCAACTTGTATCTCCAATTTATTCCATTTTCCCGGTTTCAATTATTCTGTTTTTATTTATTTATCGCATTACAACATGATTAGTATTAATATTTTGTATTGTATTATGATGTTTGATTTCCTACCATGTCTGGCTAAATTAGTTGATGTCAGTATGTGACAAATTTGTCAGAAGGGATTAAATAATAATTGATGTTGTTTTTCTTTACAAATTATTTTTTAGGCTCTAGTTTCTTATTTTAATTAATCAACCATTCTTGCGAGAGTAAAAAGGGGAAACTAAGGTTAAGGTCAAGATAAACGAGATTTTGAGGTTTTAACCAGATAGCAGAGATTAGACATTAATTCTAAACACAACGGAAACACTTTAGAATTAATTAGGACTTATTTATTTTCAAAAGGTATCTTTAATTCGAATGATACAGCGAGGACGCTCATTTTGATTTAACGATATAGTCTAAATCAATAAACACGAGAGTGTGAGGTGAGGATTTTTATAAAAGTATTTTTCTAATAAAAAGTAATTTGGACAACCTGACTTACATTGATTATTTATTAAATTCTTGACGATTGATGCGTTGCATACTGACATCCGCTATTGATTATTCTTATTAGAAATTTTAGCATTTTTTAGATTTAATTTCATTCGCATTTAACTTTCCTAAAACGATTACCTTAGATTTACATAGTAACATTAGAATACGGTACGTTCGATTTCTAGCCTCTGTGGATCGATAATCTATTAAAACTACGCGATACGACTGTATACTTGCAGTCAGATTTATTTGGACACACTAAACCGCGATCAGGCATTGTGAGCATCATGGACATTATCATGGCTGACCATGATCAGAATCTTAAAAGAACTACTTTGGTCTTTGATTTACGAGGAAAGAAAGACGAGGAGAACAAAGTTTCTCACAGGCGGCACCACTAATCTTACCGACTGATCAAAACCTGAAGTGGGACAGAGACTTCGTCTACGATGTTGGGTTTCAAAGATGAGGGGAGTGTACCTCCAAGGCACTCCGATACTAAATTAAGAATCGAGAGAAGAGAAGACAAATACAAAGAAAGTATGTCTTAGGATGATTTAGAATACCTGACCCTCTCAAATGAAAGGGTTTTTAAAATGCCCCAAGCACTTGGCCATTAGTCCTTATTTTTAGGGCGAGATATTCGCTCTCAAAGAATAAGTAACTAACATAAACTAGCCGTTGGGACGGACATAGATGCTCGGAACTAGCCGTTGCCGCGGGCACAGGCGTCGTCGTGACTGTTTCTGGATGATGACACTGTGCGTGACAGACATAAATGTGACGAGGAACAGCTGATCCTAGAGGTCAGCTGGCCAGCCTTCCTCAGCAGAGGGACAGTGGGGAGAATGCTTCCTTTTGCCTTTGATTGACAGGACTTAGGCTATTGGATCGTTCTCAAAAGTGAATTGAATCATATCTAACCATTGGAACAACCCAGAACACTGGATATGAATCATATCTAACCATTGAGACAACCCAGAACACTTGATATGAAAAAATCTCTTTCTTTCTGATCATTGGAGACTTTAGTCACTGTACTAGAAGCATTAACATTTTGATAATCTTCAACTTCTCATTCATTCTCTTATACAAAATAGAACACAAAAATCAAATTAATCATAATAATCAACAACAACAACAAAAAAATTTTTATATTTGAGAATCGCAGATGAATTCATAAAGAGTCTTGTGTTAAAAAATTTGTAATTGAAAATTTAATTTTAATTTTAAGAATATTTCCGTTTTAAAATGCAACCAAATTTTTAAAGGAAAAAATCATTGAATCATCGCAAGGTCAATTTCACGCTAGTTTCTAATTCCTATGTTTAATATTCAAGGTTAAATTTTTTTGTTACAAAAATCGCTGTTAATTTATACTCCCAATGTAACAAATTTAAAAAAGGACTATTGACAAATATTCCAGTATTACATGATTTATTCGCAACTTTTTTTTAAAATAATTAATCTATTGATAGTTGTATCTTAGAGCATCTTTAAAATGGGAGCAACTAAATTGGATAAACTAAATTATTTTACGTGGGTCCAAATTGACATGAAAGATTTAAGCAATCCAAAATTGAATTAAGAAGTTTTTAATTCAATGGTGATGGTTTATAAAGAATTCAAACTTGATATTAAATAGTTAATAAAAATCTATTATTTATGTTAAATAATTAATAAAAATCTATTATTTATGTTAAATAATGAGTTAGAGTACGTTGCTTGTGTAGAGCACGTAAACTAGTTTTAGAACATCTCATATGCTATGTCAGCCCTACTATAATGCAAATTCTTTATTACTAATTTAAACTATACAAAATTTTGGTTTAACAACTATGCGGTAAAATTGCTCTTAGGCAATCTTAGTCAACAAATCGAGTTATTATTAACATCTTGCATTAAATCTTTTAGTTGGTTCATCTATCAGATTGAAACCTTTCCATTTATTTTTTACACTCTTATACTATTATTTATTGAGATTTTCTTATTTTTTAAGTTTAATTGTATTGTTTTTCTAATTTCGTCTCAATTTTTTAAAATTTGAAATTTTAATTCTTTTGTTTTCAACTTTTTATATTTTTGATCTCGTTTCCAATTAAAATGGGGATTAAACTCCAAAATAAATTTAAAATAGAGATCAATAATTAAAAAGAAATTAAAGATAGAGAGATAAAAAATTTAAATTTTAAAATAGAGGATAAAAATTAAAAAAAAATTAAATCAAAATTCAAATTTTAAAATAGAGAAACCGAAATTTAAAAAAAAAAAAAACTAAAATTACAAATTAAACCTTTTTGTATTTACATTAGATATATTTTTATTTTTAATATTAGTTATTTTGATATAATTTGTAATATATCAAAATTTCACATGTATTAGTGATTATTTTTTTAAATCTCGAGTAAGATAAAAATGAAGCGGTGATATTTATCTTTTATTTATTCGCATCCACTATTCATTTTTCACAGATAATAAAATACATCTGTAAAATAAATTTATACTAATTAATTTAGAAAAAAAAATCATTGGGAGAAATTTTGAAAAAATAAAAAGTATAAAGCGACCAAAAAAACTTATGGTAAGAGAAAAAATAAATGTGGCCGTTGCACTTTTTGAAAAAAATGCAAGGCAATGATCATAACGTGAGCCTTGATTCGGACGTTTCTCATCATAACCGTCCATTTTCCAAAATGTTCGATATTTAAAATTTTTTGTAACTTTAAAAATTCAAAAAGAAAATTATAAAAAATGATTTGTATTTGATGATTCCGCCTCTATAATTTTGAATATAGAGAGAGGACCATTTCCATTAACACTTTCTCTCTCACCAAAACTCTTCTTCATCTTCCTTCAACCAACTCTGAGTGTTGATTTGTACTTCTAGGTCTTCTTCAATATCTCTTCATTTGGATCTGCATTTTCTCACCGTTTCGATTTCCTCAGGCTCAATCTCGTCGTCACTGAACGGTTTCATTTTGATTTCTACGCTGTTTTTATTCATCGATCTTGCATTCGTCATTGCATTCATGCATTCATGATTTGTTAATGCTGATCCTGATTCTTAGAAATTTTAATGTCCATTGAAATCTGAGTTTTGTGATTGCTTTAATTTGAATTTGAAATCGAATTCGAATTCCGTAACTCTTTTTTCACACTTTAATTGTTTGATTTTGAAAGGATTGAAAGGATCGAGTATATTGATTTTTTTTAATGCTCTTTTTTATTTGTGCTGTAATTTTTTTAATTTTATTTTGAAATCAAAGTTATAATCATTATAAACGGTGCTTTTCCCCAGTTATTTTTTAAATTTTGAATATCTTTTTTACTTTATTATTGTTTGGTATGGTTGCGGTTTATTTTATATTTAAAATTTGAATTCAATTTATGTTGATTTGTGTGTTTTTGTTTGCAGAAGTTTTTGTTGCAAGTTCCGAAGTGTGGATTAGGGATTATAATGATTTGGAGGACAAATTGTGAAGATAATTGCAGTTCAATCAGAGTTGCGGTATACAATGGGAAGTGAGAGGTCGATTTCTGGTCCATCTGATACTGTACAGAAAATTAGACCATTGCATGGGTAATTCTTATAATCATCTTTTGTTTTACTATAGCTTGACATGCATCTTTCATCTCAGATTGCCCTTTTGGAAGTAAAATTTGCATGCACCGACACATTAATACCAACACGACACCGACACTTGTATCACGATCACTAGGTAAAATTTAACCTCACACATAAGGTTAATATTGATGCCTCAAACGATTTGCATGTTTATGTTTGGGGCTTTAATTTGCTTTCTTTTGGGAGTTAAATGATTCATTACCAAGGGCAAGGGGTGGATCTTTGTTTTTCCAAACTAGTTTATCTTTCATCACAATTTTTCTAAACTTTACTCATAATTTCATCCTAATTAGTTCTCAAATTTAAACAATTGCTAGTAGACCTTTTATTTGGTTGATTGAGAAACCACATTTTATAATTTTGTGAACCTCCAATTTATAGAACGGTGAGAGTACAAAAGAACGGAAATCCAAGTAAATAAGCACGTCCTAATGCCTTAAAAGCTTGTTGAAAAGATGTCTGCTGAAGTGTGGCAACATTATATCACCTTATGACTTAGTTTATTCGTTCAACCAAACTCTAATAGATGCACCGTTCGCATGTACACTATTGAGTTTTATTTCCTCCACCACTTCCCCATTGCTGCTGATTTTATTTGTTCGACCAAACTCTAACAGATGCACTGTTCACTTGTACACTCTTGAGTTTTATTTCGTCCAACACTTGCAATTGGTGCCTCATTGTGGGCATAACACGAGTGTATGAAATTGCACATGACGAGCCCAAATGAGGCACTTTCTCAATTTTCTCAGCTTCGACATGGTGTATCAACTTTACTTTAGCCTTCAAATATTCTTCATAGTTAATATATCCGGTCAATCAATGGCATTAGCTTTTCTTATTAGCTACTATAATTAGATTGAGCATCTGCCAAGCAATATTGAAATTTATGAAAATTTTATATGCAAAAGGCAAAGTGCATTTTACATTTTGATTTTTTTTCGGGCGTAATCCATAATAAGTGGTGAATTGAGTTTTCTCTTACAATTAAGCATGTATTTGCAGGAGGACTACTGGCCCTACAAGGCGATCCACTAAAGGAAATTGGACAGCTGAGGAGGTATATTTTTTTAATACTTGAAGATATTACATCTTTCTAAAGTTTGACAATATTACCTTGATTTGTTAGAAGACTTCTGTTGAAAGTCTGTAACTTTATCATCTGTTTTTGTAGATGCACAATAAAATTTTGTATCTTATGAAACTAAGCATCTGTTGAACTTTCTGTATTAATTTTTATCACTCTCAATAGTTATAGTTATTTTGTAGACTTTTTGAAGACCATAAATGGCTAAATAATGTGTTGGCATTCATTGTATTTTTGGCATATTTGTACATTTAGAAATTTTGATGCAGTTTTTCTTTGAATACATTCAGATCTGAAAAAGTTACCAAGTGACGTACATGAATTCTGTTTCTGCAGGATGATATTTTGCGGAAGGCTGTTGAGCGTTTTAAAGGAAAGAATTGGAAAAAAATAGGTAAGATTTGGCAGCATGGAGTATATGTACATGTTGCTCATCATAATTTAATTTCACAACTTACTTCTTATAGTGTATAGCAGTGTAGGTCTTTAGTGAGCATTGATTGTGTCAATTTCTTATTCTTATTAAGTTATACGGGTTTCTTCAGTTGGACTTTTAAAGGCTTAAATGAGAAGGTTTTCAATAAGAAAGTGGGAAATCGACCTATATCTTTGGAGTTTCATTGATTTATAATTTTTTAATAGTCTTAAAATCTAATCTCTATAGCATATTATGCAATATTTTGATGTGACTTGTTACAATTGTCCAATGTGTTTGTAGCGGAGTGTTTCAAGGATAGGACTGATGTACAATGCCTGCATAGGTGGCAAAAAGTTTTAAATCCAGAACTAATCAAAGGTCCTTGGTCCAAAGAGGTAATATCTACTTATTTCTCGCCTGTGTTGATTATATACTTGCCAATTTTTTGTTGGTTCAGATTTAGTATTCACTATTCTAGTCTTTTCATTTTCTGTTTAGAAATCTGTTATTAACTTACATACTGATCTGAATGCAAACAGGAAGATGAAACAATCGTTGATTTAGTAAACAAATACGGGCCTAAAAAGTGGTCTACTATAGCACAACATTTACCTGGACGTATTGGTAAGCAATGTCGAGAAAGGTATGGCTAATGGATTTCTACTAATTCAACTGTGTGATTAACATATTTCATGTCTGAAATCATTAAACTAGTGTACACTGTATTTTGGGGCGGTGGTAGCCAATTCTCATTCTCATCAATAATTAATGAAAAATTATTAGGTGGCATAATCATCTTAATCCTTCTATAAATAAGGAAGCATGGACGCAGGAAGAAGAGTTAGCTCTAATACATGCTCATCAGATTTATGGGAATAGATGGGCAGAATTATCAAAGTTTTTGCCTGGAAGGTAAATACACGTTAAATTTCTATTTCATTTAAATAAGGGAGATAGTTTAAAAGTGCATGCAACCATGCTGTCACTTAATTTTGGAATCAGAGTTTCTTATTTATCTTTTGATTAGACATCTAGATGCATATTTTTATATCTGTTTATCAGTAAGCATTTACAGTTGTGATTTTTCTTGTGGAAAACAGGACAGACAATGCAATAAAGAACCACTGGAATAGTTCTGTCAAAAAGAAATTAGATTCTTACTTAACGTCGGGCTTGCTTGCTCAGTTTCAAAATGTACAACTTGTTGGAAATCCAAATCAACCTAATTCTTCATCCTGTGCAAGGTTGCAGTTTAGTGTAGATGATAACGGTCCTAGGGGGGCTGAAGGTGAGGAAGTTTCACAGTGTAGCCAGGAATCAGTTAATGCTGATAACTTTCCGTCTAGCAGAGAGTTGAGAATTGTTGTTATGCAAAATGGAGAAGAGTACATTGCAAATGAAGAATCTAATCAAGCATCGTGTTCAGAGCCATATTACTTGTCTCTGGATGATGTTACTTGCCAAGAATCATATGAGCAGAAATATTCAAACCAAGCCGGAAGTTCCTCCGCTAATGTGGATTACCAATTTAATTTACATGCTTTGCCCAACATTTCCTCGCTTGACTTTGGGCAGGAATCATCTCAGTTGCAAAATGATTCGTTAGCTCCTAGTGAAAGTCATAACATGATGATTGTTCCATATGAATATCAGCCTTCATCTATGGACAATGTTGAAGGAGAACAAAACATGTTGGTAACTAATGATGAATGTAGCAGATTCCTGTTTTCAGAGGCAATGAGTGATGAATGCTTTTCCTCGGGAGGAGTAAATAATGTTGACATGTCTAGATGCACTTCATCTCTTTGTCAGTCATCTAGTGGCAGGATGGAGATGTATGCTGTCGAAGGCAATCCGTTTGTAGGCTCTGAGGATCAACAATGTGTCTCGAGAGAACATGATGGCTTGATTTATGCCAATGATAACAATAGATTTGAAGATATTGGGAAAGATGCAAATTTAAAATTGGTCCCTGTAAATAGTTCTGGCCGTGGATCGGATACAATGCAAACTTGCTATCCAATTGATGAAAAAGAAAAGATACATATAAAACAGGAGGAAGCAGGAGGAAAACTGTGTTATGAACCACCTCGTTTTCCAAGCCTGGATATACCCTTCATGAGCTGTGATCTTATACAGTCTGGCGATATGCAACAAGAATTCAGTCCCTTAGGCATCCGCCAGTTTATGATGTCTTCTATGAACTGTCTTACTCCTTTCAGACTGTGGGACTCTCCTTCTCGCATTGATAGTCCAAAGGCTTTGTTAAAAAGTGCTGCTAAAACTTTTACTAGTACACCATCCATAATGAAGAAGAAACGAAACCGAGACCTTTTAACTCCACTATCAGATAGAAGAATGGAGAAGAAACATGAGATTGACATGACATCAACTTTGATTACAAACTTTTCTCGTTTGGATGTCATGTTTGATGATAATGAGGCTCAAGGTATTGAAGATGATAAAGAAAATTGTAGACCAGCTTTTAAGGTAGAAGAGAAAAGTAACTCTCAGAAGAAGATTGAGCAGTCTCCTCTCGATGCCGATTCTAAGATGAAGGATGATATTGATCCCGTTGCTGAAATAGTAAGTATTACTATTACTATGTAGATACTAAATTGTTATTGCCTTCCAAAATCTTATTTTTCTCTAGTAGTTAGTTGTAGTCCAGAATTTGTAGATATTAACATTTTATTGGTCAGGTACAACAGCCTTCTGGAGTTTTGGTTGAACATGATATCAATGATCCGTCGTTGTATTCTCCTAGTCAAATTGGTTTGAAATCAGACATAGTTCTTAGTTTAAGTGCTAGAAGTCATAAAAAGCCAGCTTCAAGATTTAACTCTCCCTGCGTTCGATTAAAGGAACATGAAAGACTCTCAGTTTCTGTTACTTGTGTACAATCCGTATGTTCGTCATCAGGCCCAGGAGAGAATATGGGCGATCAAACCGGAAACGATGGTGGTTTTGAAAGAAATAACATGTAATATTCTTTAAATTGATTATTGTTAGCTACATTTTTTCAAAATTTTTGTTGAATGCATCACATTGTTTTTGAGTAACAACTTGTTTGATTTCAGTTTTGGCGGAACACCTTACAGGAAAAGCTTCGAATCACCTTCGGCATGGAAATCCCCCCTGTTCTTCAGCACCTTTTTGTCTAGCCCCAGGATTGATACTGAAATTACAATTGAGGTTTCGTACATTATGTTGAGTTTACTACTGTAGAACTGAAGTATTAGTTTCTTTCTCATTTAAAAAAGTGAGCATGTTTACAGGACTATGGATGTTTCTTTAGCCCGGGCGATAAAAGCTATGATGCAATGGGATGGATGCAACAGATTGGCGAACACACTGCTGCTCAATATGCCGATGCTCTAGAGGTTTTGGAAAATGAAACTCCAAAGGCACTACCAAAAGATGCATCCGGAGACAACCAAGAAAACATCGATCCTCATAATCAGCCTGAAAACCATTCTAACTTGGCTTCAAATGCTTTGGTAAAACTGAACTTATCAATGCTTGTTTGCTTTATATTTTCAACAAAATTTCAATCTCATAAGGAAATATTTGTTTCCAGGTGGAGCGACGCATGCTTGACTTCAGCGAATGTGGATCTCCAGGGAAGGGTGATAATGGTAAATCTTCAGTTATGAACATTTCAAGTCCTTCTTCGTATTTGTTGAATGGCTGTAGATAGATATATATAGCTAAGTGCCTCCATCTGTTTTGCTGTATACTCAGATGTCTGTTTGAGTATACTCTATATATACAAATTGTCATTTATATATATAAGATTATTATTATTCCTTAAAAGAAGATTGTTATTGTTATTATTAATTTGTTGTTTAGCTTATACTGTTAGTGACAAGACTTGTCTTGTATATTTTTCTAGATATATTTTCTTGTCTTGATGTCCCATAAATTTTGTTGACAATTTTCCTAGCATATTGTTCAACCCTTTGAATAAAATAGTCCTAATAGATTACTCGGTTGTATGGTCTAACTTTGATAGATCGGAAAGAAAAGAATTATAAATTTTACTCCACCTGAAATTTAAGATTACACTTATGCTTATAAGTGAAGATGAGTTAGCACAATTTTAACTAATGATAATACTTTCCTTTGTGAAAATTGTTGATTTTTCTTGTAATCCAAGTTACCTTTAAAAGTATGTTAGTAAGTTAATTTTGATAGTCAGACATGTTGGTTTGGTTAGGTGGGACGTATAATATACTGTACATTGTTTCATTGATCAATATACAATTAATTAATATTCACTCAACTAATTTTCCTTAATTTTCATTGTTTAGTGAAAAGTGTGTTGTCACATTTTTTCTAGATTTATACTTCGACATTTTAAAAGCTTTTTTAATTTATTTTAATATTTTAGTATGTTTTTAAACTTGGGTCATAGTAAAATTTTAGTTAATTTATTTTATTTATTTTAAAAATAAATTGCATTTTGATATTTGTTTGTTGGTAATATCATAATTTGAGATACGAGTATTAGATTGATACAAATTTTATGTTGATGTTAGAGATTAAGTTGAGAATGTTAATAAAATTTGAGCATTTCTTATTGCATCTCATGCATTTCTTATTTCACCTCATGCATTTTTTTTCACCGTGTAGATTTTCACATATGCCCTTTTCACATATGCCCTCAGATTTCAGTGATATATCTTCGAATGCACCTCACGTCTGACTAAACGCTAATAATATTCCCTGTCACAACATATCTCTTATAACTCATTTTCAATTGAATATTTCGAGAGATATATCTACGGGAATTTTCCAGAGATATATCTCTAAAGTGTATCAGAATAGGTTTTTTTGTAACGCGTTGTGTATTTGTTCGCATATGAAATATAAAATGACAGACATACCAAATAATATAACAATATAATATAGTAATAAAATGTCGTACGTCACGAAATTCAAAATGTAGTAATAATGTCAGGAAAAATGCACAAACTATAGTTCTACAGCAAAATAAATACAAACAACTATTGGATGTGTTTGACAACCTCTCCTCTATCTCCTCTGTCTGGTTTGCATCCTAGGCCATCGATCCCCTCCGTCCTCGTGCGATGTCTACGATACAATAGTGCCCAATGTGCCTCCGCAACCAAAGCATCCAGTACTCACCGCACAACAGAGCCATAAGAGAATATAGCCTTGTCAATGCTTGACCGTGCAATCCCCACCATGTGAAGACACCGAGACAAGACATCCTCAGTATGGTCTAGCTGAGCATACTCCTCCTCTAGAATCTTCTAATGAGCGGGTCTCGGTGGATCTCCTAGAGCAGTGGGCACCATGTATGAATGTGAGACCTTGAAGAACCACCTGATTTATCCGTCGATGTAGCTCCATTTATTCGGCGCTATGGTAGCCCAAGCCTCATCCGATACCAAATGACTCTGATAATCAGTAAACATCCCCTCTATCTGTATAAAAGTCAAGGCAGAAGGAGCAGAGACAACAGGGTTTTGGGGATGGTCTTGGTGTACCCGAACTACCGCATCACGTGCTCGGCCAGATGAGGAGCAGTGATGCTCGACCTGAAAACCAGTCATCTGGAGTATAGCGATATGTCATCAAATGGCCGCGTCTGACTGTGATCAGCATAGCAGTTGTTGAAATGGATGTCCTTGACAGCCAAGCAGTCAAGATAGACTTTGAAAGGCTCGGCCGCCTTGTTCCCTCTCAACGGGATAAAAGCAAAGGCGCAGGGCATCTTCTCAGTGCACTCATCCCAACACGCCCAACCAGCAATGTGCGGGAGGTGCTGGAGGATCCAAGGCTGAAACAAAAATAAAAAGCATTTAGGGATCAAGAATTATCGCAAATATGAAATGAAAATGAAAAAAACATTCGAGGATAAAAAATTATTAACACCAATAGTGTCGTGCTGCCTGTGACCTGCTTTGTCCTCCACTGACATCCATCTCTCAACTTCGAATACAAATAGGTCAAGCAAGCCACCCTCCAGTTGTACTTATTGATCGTGTGAGATCCAAGAAGTATCGAAGGTATGCAACGTCGTATAGGTGGCACTCGTGTCTCCAAAAATCACAGTGCCAACTAAATAAGGAAAATATGCCTTAAAAGCATGAGTCATGTGTAAGGTCGCTTGTTCTGCATCACCATCAGCCTGCTGTGCAGCAACGATCTCAACATCAAACAACTTCTTCAGGAACAAAAACTTAACATGAGCACCCTTGGTCCTATCCACCTCCTCAAACGCCTTCCCTGGATCAATCTCCAAATGCTCCACCATCATATCAACTGCCTCTTCTTTGGTCATCCTACCATAATGGAGGAATCTCCCCCTGATCGAAAGATACAACAAAGACGTTACATTGTCCAGGGTGATAAACATCTCACCACGCAGGAGATGAAAAGAAGACGTCTTAGAATGTCATATCTCCACGAATGCATTAAGTATCTTTTGGTTGACCAGACTGTAACCAGTTATGCATCTTGTGGTTGACCATCCTGTGAATTTCCAGAAATAATCAATGTCAGTAATAATCAGTGTTAGAGATGATTAATGTCAGCAATTTAAATTAACGTAAAAAAATAAATCAAAAATTACACTAATGTTACCTCTCAGTCTCATATATGTTTGGAAGTATCGTCTGGATACAGAGGAAGTAGGGACATATCAGATGGACCCCCTTTGAAAGTCTCTGGCTCGACATCAACAATCTCACCCTCCGGAGATGGCACCAAAATACTTTAACGTTCAATTTGGTTTTGGTGCGTCCAGAGATATATCTACAAAATATTTTTACATTTAATTGAAATTTTGTGCGTCTGGAGATATATCTCTGGAATCAATGGATATATGTGGAAAGTTACATGGTGTGGAAGAAGTTCATAGGGTACAAAAAAATGCTCCTAAATTATATTTAGAGTCATTTTGAGATTTTGGCCAGGTGTTCTCAAACCATTCTAATATGTTCTTGTTCCGACGATAGAATAATTAACAACATACAAAAATTGAAAATTGTAATAGAAGCAAAATAAAGGTTAAGCCTTCCTCTCTTGGTCAACTAAACTCATATTCGATCTGTAGTTTCATCAAGACCTTGACGTTTTTATGTTATTTTTTTAATTTACCGATTCTATCTCTTTCATATTTAATTGTATTTTTACTGTAATGCTTAATTTAAATGTCGGTAGATTTGGTAGGATTTATTTTAGGCAGAATACGATTCTTTAGGGTAGAATTGATATGTTATAATTTTGCAATGCTTGATTTCTCAACTACTTAGTATTGTTAAATGTGATTCTGTATCCAATGATATGAACTCAAAATTTTCATAAGGTCGATTGATGCTTGTTTATTTTATTCAATAGTCAAAACATGAATAGAATCGAAATTAGAGATTGAGTCCTAAAGCTCATAGATCAGAATTGTCAATCGGTGTATTGATCGCTTTTTATCACACGTGTTTTTCATAGTTATTTCCAAATGGTCCCAAACCAAACTCGAAAAGCCCCTTTTTATTTTAATTGATTTGAATTTTAAGTTTATTGAAATACTAGTCTTTGCAGCATGACTTGAATATCACCACCCTAAAATACATTTTAATTATTTTTTTACTAGTGTGCGACACTGTTTGCCGCAAACAACCGCTGGTCTAACAAATCAAAAGAGATATGTGTTACTTGCAGGATCGACCATACAAAACTTAGGACATATACTAATTGGTATTTTAAATGAAGTGAATGAAAATTATGAACACTTCGATGAGTTCCATGGTAAGATAACTTATTTGAAGTATGAATGAATTTAAGTAACGACAAAAGGAAGTAAAATGTTGATAGATGACAAGGATAATAACTTGCATAGAGAAAAGTAAACTTTTAAATAAAAGAAGTGTTAAATTGAATTAAAATAAAAACTGGTGTTTAGTCAACGTACATTCTCACGACTCGTTTCTCTCAATCACATGGATACTTAGAATAAATGGAGATTTTATACACAATTGAACACATCCATCTTAATACTAAGACCTGCTATATATAACCATCAAATGTAACCGCCATTAACAACTAACGAATGAGATCAGGACAAGTGTCGATGTACATGCCTTCGAACCACCAGAATGCTCCACGTGTCTTTCTAAAAAACAAATTTTCCCTCTTTTATTTGAATTCAAACAAACTCTCGTCGAAATTCCCCTAAATGATGCTTTTGTTGAATTGGGTCTTCCAGCTACTGAGGAATGTCTCTAAGTCCATAACATAGAACCTCGTGACGAAAAACCATTTTCGACTCTTATTCCATAAAACATAGCTTTAGTCGAAGTAATTAGATTTCCCCAAGAAACTCTATTTTTTATTTTTAACTCCATTCAGGTGTCGAAATTAGGAGCCAACAAATTTCCTCCCAAAAATGTCATTTTCGACATCAATGAAGAATGCGACATTTTTTGATAGTATCGTTCGACGCCCCAAATGAATCTTGCGTGTCTCTTACTGTTGCGGTGAGAATAGGATATCAAATTACTAATTAATTTGAATTGCAAATCTTTGATTCACAACCGATTTTTAATTTATTCGAAGGAAAGGTCAAAGAAAGGAAAAACCTAATTTTGCATCGTAAACACAATGCGGGGAGAGATCTAGGGTTCGGGGGTTGGTTAAGCTTATGGAAGGTATTAGTGAAGGTAGGAAAAACAC